GTTTTGTTGAAATGTATGTAACAGGTAGAAGGAGGCGTGGCAGACCCCACAAAGTATATATATTCTTGATCAGTTGAGTTGATTTGGCCCTGTCTGTCTGTCCGTCCGTCCGTCCGTATGTATGAACGCGTCGATCTCAGAAGATATAAGAGCTGTAGACTTGAAATTTTTTTCCTAGGTCCGTGTATATCACGCGCATATCAAGTTTTTCTCTAAATATCGATAAATACTCTCGATATTTTATTATCGATTAAAAACCTTATCGAAAGCTAGTTGTTTAATTATATCTCCTACACCTTTAGAGCTAGAACTCTAAATGTAGACTTATATATATTTTATACAATTTCGATTTTCGTTAAAATTTACTCCCCACTCCTATTTCCACCCCCTCACCCTCACCTTTGTAAAAAGCGTATTTCAAATACTAGAGACTTGTGCTTTGGAATGTACATACATTTGAACATTTTGATTATGTTCTGAGAGTTTCATTAAGATTGTACGTCTAGAAATTAAATTATTCAACAAATAAATTCTTATAATGTTGCCCACACTGTAGCGCAGGCCAAACGCAGTCGTTGCTTATTGCACAGTTAGCAGAGCGCGTTCTAATACGTGCTTGTGTATGTATGTGTGCCGAAAAGAAGTGCACAGTGATTAGAATATCAGATTGGAGGGTTCAGGGTATCTCCTAGTCGAGCAGTCTCGACTAGAGTCTTCTTACATGTTTTTTATATTTATTTCTTACATTCTTTTTTTTGTGGTATTTTTCCTCTCTTTGTTGCTGTTGTTGTATAGGTTCAGGCTGTGAACAGTTTTCAGGTTGCTGGCTAGTTCACTCCAGGCATTGTCGTCCGACAATGATTGTGCAACAGCAACAGACAACCGACAACAACAACAACCGATGACAAGAGACAACAACAATTTGTGGTTTGCGACAGTTCGTCAGGCACAGTGTTGACAAACAGTTTGTGCCTCGTGTTTGTTCACTGTTGTCGCTGATGTTGTGATTGTTCCTAATGTTGCTGTTGTTATAACAATTGTTGTTGCTGTTGCTGTTGTTGTTGTTGCTGCTGCCGTCGGTTGTCTGTCTCGATTGCCTCGGTTGCGCTCGGCCTGTTAGTAGAACATATTTTAGATTCCATGTGTGGTTGGCCGTTGCAGCCACAGTTACATAACATAACCGAGCTACACAGTGCCCGCTGTATGTTTATTTACCCAAGCTGGGAGCTCTAATTGTTAAGTTGCTTTCAAATAGCCCACGCGCTGTTCTGTGCGATTCTCATAAGCGTAAGAGATGTGCTCTGTACGTGTGCCTGTGTGTGAGTGTGTGTGTGCGCGCGCTAATTCAATATTATGCGCTTTAGTTCAATCGCTCCACTTGCAGCTCAAATTTGATTTCATGTTGAACTAGTTCAATTGCTCTCATCGAGTGTTGGCTTGAGGCATTGCGCAAATGCAAACATTGAATTCAATTTCCATTAGCTTTAAGGCAATTCTTTGCAATTTTCTGAAATTTGAGACATTTTTAAACTGAGTTAGATTTAGTTGAGATCAAAAGACGAAGAACTGGTTCAATTGGTTTTATTGGCGATTCTCATAAGTGTTCGCATTAGTTTAATCGCTCTTCTCTGAAATTCTCAAGAATCGTGTGAATTATAAGTTTATCTGTTTCAATTTAGTTCAACTGCTCTTCTTTGCGCTTCTCATAAGCTTCAATTTTGCATTACCTTTTGAAATGACATTTCTATTTTTTTTTTTTTGCATAAGTCTAAACGCATTTCTATGCAATTGTATTTTAATTCATAAAGTAAGGGAATCTGTGAATGATTTGATGTAAACTAGTTCCATTGCTCTCTCTGTGATTAATTTGATGTAAGCTAGTTCCATTGCTCTTGGGATTTTTATATATATTTTGATTTTGTATCAAAAATTATTTTAAATAGCGCACGCGCTTTTCCTTGCGCTTCTCATAAGCTTACGCTAACACGATTAATCATGTTAATTAAAATTAAATTATATTTCCAGCAGTTCAATCGCTCTTCTCTGCGATTCTCATCAACTTAAATCATTGCTCTGCCCACAAGCGTAAGTCAAATTTAAAATAACTTTCAATTGCAGCTGATGAGATTTGATTCTCGTGCCGTTCTCTGCAATTCTCATTAGCTTAAGTGAGAAATCTTTTTGCTGAATGGGCTTCTTTTTTTTTTTTTTTTTTTTTTTTGTGTTTCATTACTGAAATGTTGTCATACCTTGACGCCTAACAATGAAAAACTTCGTTTTCACTGAGCTCTGGTTTCGGGGACCGCCCGGGGAGGCTCAGGTCCAAAGGCTTGCCCCGAGAAGGGCAGAACACCTTTGCTGCTAATGAATACAAATTCATATACATATACCGACGTGTACAAGGCCACAAATGCCACGCCCCCCTCGCAACTTTAGGCATTACAGTTTTTTGCCATTTGCCGCCTCCTGCTCGGGCCTCGTGCATGTGCAAGTGCTGCCGCCTGACAAAGCCCGTTTGGCGTTCAGTGAGCCTTTTGTCAGCTGGGACACCAGATGATGCGGCCAGAGGTATTTCAGGGCTGTGTTGCCCGCATTGTTGCTGTGGCTGTTGGCCTCTTTTTCGCATTAGCCCGACTCGGATTCCCCGACTCGTGCAACTGGTTGCATGAGGCCATTCGCTGGCTGCGCTTCATTTGCAGCTTCCTGTTAAATATTTCAAGTGCATGCCATAACACATCCACAGAAATTCGATGTGCATCGTTTAATAGTTTCAAACACGCCGCAGCACAGCAGCAGGGGCCGGGGCCGTGCAGGGGCAGTGGGCGTGGCTGTTGAATAAACAACACACAGCGCACAGCGCAAGCAGCCGCAATGCGTTTTTGATTATTTTAGCTGCGCACCGCTGTCACAGTTGTTGTTTTAATAGCCGTAAGCCACAGAGCTCTACCACAACACCGGCCCGCTGCACCGCCACCTGTGCCGAGTTAATCATGAATGCCAAATATTTACCCATTTCGTTTCAAATGCTTTTTGTTCGCCAACTCAATTGGAAAATTATCAAAATTCCGTAATATCCATTCAATTTGGATAGCATCGAAAGTGCACAACAATCGAATTATATTTTACGGCTAAATTGAGAGCCCCTGCCTCTACCACGCCTCTACCCCGCCGGCATCGCATTACTGTCCGCGGCTTTTGATTTGCAAATCTGATTTGAGTTATGTGCTCAAATCAGTGCGAAAGTGTTATTGTCATAGTTGGGGCATTAACTAATTGCGATCGCGGCACTTTACGGCATAGCTCTACTCATGGGGCAGAATGGTTCCATTGAGGGGTATATTATAGGAAATTGGGTAGAATACTTGGTGAATAAGTATAAGATGGGGCGTTTCAGATATAGATTTATAATTACGCCCAGTTTTCATCTATTTGTTCATACATTTATTTGTCTATTTATTTTCCATTATTTATTTTATTATTTACTTTTTATTCCCTCTCGTCCATTCCTCCATCCATTCATAGACTATTCGCCCGTTCGTCCATTCGCTCGACTGTCTGTCCCTCCTTCTATCTGTTCGTCTTCTATCCGCCTATTTGCGCGTCTGTTCGCCCGTCTGTCTTTTCATTTGTTCATTCGTCCGTCCGTGTATCTCTCCGCTCGCTTCTCCGTCCGTTTATCCATTTGTGTATGCGTTTTGTTTTTTCTAGATTATCGATTGTTTATCCATATCGTAAGTCATTCTTCCGTCAGTCCTTCTGCTAGTTCGCCTGTCTGCCCGTGCGTTAGTTCTCCCGACCGTACGCTTGTCTGTTCCTCTGAACGCTCGTTCGCCTCTATGTTTATCCGTTATCCAAGATCCATTATGTTATCCATTAGTCTATCTGTCTGCCTATCCGTTTGTCTACCCGTCTATCTATTCGTTTGTCTTCCGTCTGCTTCTCCGGCTGTCTATGCGTTAGTCTTCTGCATCTGCCTATCCGTCTGCTTCTCCGGCTACCTATCCGTCTATCCATCCGTCTGTCTATCCGGTAGTCTATCCGTCTATCTATCCGGCTGCTTTTCCGTCTGCCTATCCGGTAGTCTATCTGCCTATCCATCCGTCTGCCTATTCGTTTGTCTATCCGTCTATATATCCGTCTGCTTATCCATCTACCTATCCGGCAGTCTATCCGTCTGTTTATCCATCAGTCTATCCGTTTGTCTACCCGTCTATCCATCCGTCTGCCCGTCCGGTGGTCTATCCGTCTAGCTATCTGTCCGGCTAGCCTTGTAACTATCCGTATATTCACCATGGACATAGAACATCCTCGCTAGTCGTGCACTGTGCATGATTTAAATGAAATCAAATAGTAGTAATGAGAGCTTCAAATTGAAAGCTCAAAGGGGCTGCCAAAAGTTTCCCTAATTTAAGAGCCCAGCTGGAGGCTGTTAGCTGAAAGGCGATTCCCTTAGTTCTAGCTCTAGTTTTCTTTAGTAGCTGTAATCTAAGCACTGTTCAGTGATGTGCTTTGGTGCCCAACTAGCTGATATTCTGCATTGCGGGTAGAGCTTTAGAGTGACTGCGGTCTGGGCTGACAGTCGGGCTTCCCCATCTCAAGGCAGACACAGGGTATCTAAGGATAATTGCTTGCTCGACTCATAAGCAGCACAAAGGTATGCAAGAGTACTTGGACTCAAATTCAATCGAATTGTTTGTATGGCTAAGTGTGCCTCATGTCTATGTGTGTGTGTGTGTCCGTGTGTGTGTGTGTGTGCAGTGGAGCCACTGTCTCCGGCTTGGCTGCAATGTACGTTATCAAAGTATCTTGTGGATTAATTAATAATTTTAGAGAATAGTTTGGCACACAGGCGTTTATTAAGTTACATCCAAGCAGAGGAGAGTGTATGTGTGTCTGTGTGAGTGTGTGTGTGTGTGTGAGTGTGTACTCTTAGCTGCCTAACTACTGTTTAATGAAGCTGCTACTTAATATGCATCGTTGCTTTTGGCCGCTGGTCATTATTATTGCTGCTGTTGTTGTTGCTGTTGTTGCTGCTGTTGTTGTTGGCGTTGTTGCTGTTGCTCCTATTGTGTTGTTAATCACACTCAAAGGCATTGTACACATACATATTAGATGGGAAAACACACACAAATACTTAATGCAACTGCAACTGGCGACAATTTGTCTTGAAAGTCAACAATGAGAATTCTCCATTTCAATTAATTGAGCAACAGTTGCTGCTGTTGTTACTGTTGCTGCTGATGTTGTAGCTGTTGCAGCAACAGTTGCTGCTGCTGCTGCTGGTGTTGTTGCTGCTACTGTTGTTGCTGCTGCTGCTGTTGTTATAGTTGCTGCAGTTGCTGCTGCTGCTGCAGTTGCTGCTGTTGCTGTTGCAGCTGTTCTTGTCTTTGTTGATGCTGTGGCTGCTGTTTCTCCTATTACTATTTCGATTGCTGCTACTGTTGCTATTGCTGATGTTGCTGCTGCTGCTACTGTTGTTGCTGCTGCTGCTGTTGTTGCTTCTGCTGCTGTTGCTGCTGCTGTTGCTGCTGTTGTTGCAACTGCTGATGTTGCAGCTGTTGATGCTGCTGCTGGTGCTGCTGCTGTTGCTGCTGCTGTTGCTGTTGCTGCTGTTTCTGCTGCTGCTGTTGCTGCTGCTGCTATTGCTGTTGCTGCTGTTCTTGTCTTTGTTGATGTGGCTGTGGCTGCTGTTTCTCCTATTACTATTTCGATTGCTGCTACTGTTGCTATTGCTGCTGTTGCTGCTGCTGCTACTGTTGTTGCTGCTGTTGCTGCTGCTGCTGTTGTTGCTACTGCTGCTGTTGCTACTGCTGCTGTTGCTGCTGCTGTTGCTGTTGCTGCTGTTTCTGCTGCTGCTGTTGCTGCTGCTGCTATTGCTGTTGCTGCTGTTCTTGTCTTTGTTGATGTGGCTGTGGCTGTTGTTTCTCCTAGTACTATTTCGATTGCTGCTACTGTTGTTATTGCTGTTGCTGCTGTTGCTGCTGTTGCTGCTACTGCTGATGTTGCAGCTGTTGATGCTGCTGCTGCAACAGTTGCTGCTGCTGCTGCTGCTACTGTTGTTGCTGCTGCTGCTGTTGTTGCTACTGCTGCTGTTGCTGCTGCTGCTGTAGTTGCTATTGCTGTTGTTGCATTTGTTGCTGCTGCGGTTTCTGTTGCTGCTGCTGTTGCTGTTGCTTCTGACAACCTTTGAGTTGCTGCTGCTTTGGCTCTTGTCGAAAATACAATTGAGCCACCGCAGCGGCTGCTGCTGCCAAAAAGAATTCCATTTTCCCTTTGCCAATCTCTATTTGTTTTTGCCGTTCTTCTTCTATCTTTCTTTCGTTCATTATTTTTTTTTTTTTTTTTGTATCTTGTTCTACTGCACAATGCTGGCTTTTGGCCGCATTCAAAGCTGCTGCAGCAGCAGTTTCGCTGCTTGGCGACTCGGCGAGTCGTGGGCCAGCCGTCCCGGCAATGGGTCGAGCCGGAAAGGCAGCAGGCGCTGCTGGCAGAGCAACTGCACTGCTTTCTAAGTTCAATTGGTGTAATGCTCCTTATACGCTGTACTGTTGTGATATAGGGTATATTGGCTTGGTAGAGAAGAACAAAAACCCGAAAAAAGGAGTTATGGCTAGCCCCATTTAATTTATACATACACTGTAAATTCTTGAGAAGGAGAACGAGCTAAGTCGATCCGTGTCCGATTAAAGACTTTTTTTTTATTATAATTTTTTTTTATTATTTAATTTATTTTTATTTTATTTTTTTTTTATCGTAAACTTTTCCCTTTTAGTCCATCAATTAAAAGTGTTAACGAAATTAAAAATATAAGGCTTAATATCGTTCATGCTTGGGGAGTCAAAGGATAAATAACGTTTTAATAATTATGTATTTTTTATAGGGTATCTGGAGTTGAATAATTCTCTCATCATAGACTTCCCAAAAAGGCTTCATTTGAGACTTGGCTTGGCCGGCAAGCATTCAATTGAGACTCTTCATATACGCAGTTCGCCATTGAGTTAAATGCTGTGCGATCCTGAACGACTGTTTGAATGGGCAGCTCACAAAGGCCGTAGCCGACATACATATTCGGGCTCCGGCTCGTAATCAAGTTCGTGGTGGTTCGCACAAGTTGCTTGGCCATACGACAGCGGAAGTCGTACGCACGACAACCGGAAATGAGCCAAAAGTCTGGCAAACATGAGCGCCAAATGAATTGAATGCACTCAAAAAAACTAATCCACTCGCACTCTCAACTGCACTTGCTCGCTCGCTCACTCAAATGCGGTGGCTGCTCTCTTGGCCGCTGGCTCTGACTCGGTAGTGGGAAATATGGGGAAATTATGCTTTGTGTGAGTGAGAGCGTGAGCAACAGCGCGACGCTTAGCCAAAAATATAACAGCATGAATATAGCTCAAAAGGCATCGCGTGCAGTGTTCGGCTATTGAGTTCGTGCGTCGTGCTCGTGGCTCGGCTCGACGATGCTGCGCTCGTGACTTGCCAGGCGACGACGGGGCTCTGGGCTATGTCCGCCACTGAGTCATTGTGTCAACGCAGGCAACCGATGCGGACGCCACATGCGGCACATTTCGCTCCGTCGTGGAGTAGCTGCGAGCACAGCCACAGTCAGCGTCGAGTTCGCCACGTGCACGGACATGTTGAAGCGCCCATAGCGCAGCGTGTCGGATATTTGTGTGTGTTTCCTTTCGAGAATATCGCGAGTGCAGTACGAAAACAAAAGTGCGGCAATTGAATGCAAATAAATACACAAATACCAACAAATAAATACAGCCAAGCAACTAAATATTATTAATTACAAATACATGTATTATTTTATTTTTTTAAATATATTTTTTTTCGTTTGTGCGCGTTTGTGTGAGCGAAATACGCAATTGTGGGTCATTGTCGGCGGCCCAATGCCGTTAGCCGGCAACTGAATGCAACGGTATTGCGCGCCAAAAAAGAAAAGAAAAAAGTGCAAATCGCATTTCGATAAGAAAGAGAAAAACAAAACGAAGAGAAACAACAACAGCAACGGCTAATTACAGCAACAACACAAGCAGCAGCAGCAGGGCAATTGCAATTACAGTTAGAAATCGGCCAAAGAGGACAAACAGCAGAGACAACAGCGATTTGACAACAGTGAAACGTCGCTAAGTAGTGCAAGTGCATGCGTGCATATATTCAAGTAAATGTAGGTCGCAAATCTATTTAATGAATTCATATATTTTTTATGAATTAAAGATGCTAAAAATAAATAGTAATAATAATGAAAGTATATATATATATATATATATATATATATATATATATATATATATATATATATATATATATATATATATATTGTTTTTTTTTTAAATCTAGTGAAGTTTTGTATTCATATAAATTTGTTTGCTGTTATTTATCATTCATTATTTATATATGAAAATATGTTTGAAGTTCTTTGCTGCATTGTCATTGCACTCAGCTGTAAACCACACACATGCATGCACACACACTGCACACATGCACACGACTCATACACACTCACACACATTCACACATGAATCAACACCATAAGAAAGCTCCACTGTATATGCCTGCATACACCAATGCACACACACTCATACACTCACACATAGATGCTCATAAATGTACGTGTGTATGTGAATAAGTTGAGCCACTTAGCGAATTGGCAGACAGACATATTTTTAGCCATAGCCCAAAAGTAAAAAGCAAACGCAGCCAAAAGGCGACCACAACAACAGAAACAACAACAAGAACAACACAAACAGCTGGGCATAGAGGACAGAGAATATGAAGAAATGGAAGCAGCAGACGCAGCGCTGCCGCCCACTGACAGTGTTGCCAGATTAGCTATTTAATAGCATTTTTAGCTATTTTTGAACCCTAAATGCTATGAAAATTTTGAAAATGCTATTAGCTATAAATTTAGCTATTTTACAAACGAATATTTTGAATTTGATTTTAGTATTTAAAGCAAAAAAAAAAAAAAAAACATTTTTCGATTAAGTCCCAAATTGTACGTAATGATCTGCGCGATACTACCACCACGACTTTGTTGTACTTATACCATCACTAGTTGTGAATTTATACCATCGCTAATTCTTCTTGCGCAGCAATGGCAAATGCTGCCATGATTATACCGTGCCTTCCAAATATTTAAAAATGATTCCAGTTAATCAAAAATATAATTCTGATGATGATTTGGATGTGGACCAAATTGTAACATTATTAAATAACATTTAAAAATAAAATTTAAAGTAAATGCATAATGCATAAAGGTTTCAGCTATTTTGTAAGCTATTTTAAAATTTGTTTAGCTATTTTCAGCTATTTTTTAGAGACGATTTTGCTATTTTTATGTCTCAAAACCTGGCAACACTGCCCACTGAGCATAAAAATTCATTAATAAAAACAACAGCAAAAATTAAACAGATGCCATCAGCTCTCTCTCTCTCTCGCTCGCTCACTCTTCGAGTGCGGTCCATCGCTCCCCTTACATACACATGTACATGCTTAACTATATACGCACACACATACACACACACACATAGACACACATTCTTGATTCTTCTTTTGCTTTTCCTGTTGACTTCCCTCTGCATTAAACAACAACAAGAGCGCAGCACAGCTGCTCTCACACAATTTTTACATATGTATGTATGATGTATGTGTGCTGGTGTGTGTATGTGCATATGTGTTATAATGTTCGCATGCTGCTCAAGCCAATACCAACTAGCAACAGCAACAGCAACAGCAACAACAAGAGGCGCAAGAACATATTGATAAAGGCAACATTGACGAAGGTCCCATAACCCATTCTTCTTCTTCTACTTTCTGTTCCCCATATTTGCTGGCATTGTCTGCCGCATTTTATTTTTGCCGCAAAGTTTGCATTATGAACGTGTAGAATTTTGCGTGCTGTTGTCTTGTCTGCCGAATGTAGCTCAAGGCTAACACGCACTGTGTTCCGTCGTCGTCGTATTTGTTGTTGTGTCTCATGTCGTTTTGCCCATTGTCCCCCTCCCAGTAGTTCGCAACAGCTACCAAAGAGGATAGCATATGGTATGCCCAACTAGCACAACATTAAATATACCATTATTTTCTGCTCAGCGATCGTTGCAATAGGGAAATTTCTGCATGAATAACTTCCCAAACATTTCCAATCAGCTTTCTGTTTTCCAATTGGAACTGTGTCACAGCCCGAAATCCAGACATTTTTATAGATTTCAAATACATTTGATCTAAAAATAAATTTGAAAAATATAAAAAAATAAAAACCACTTGCGATCGGTGACAGAAAAGAAGCAATTTAAATGCAAAATAAATAACATGAAAGATAAATATCCAAGGCGTGAATAATGGGTTCGCTGTAGCTTATGCTTGTTAAGAGTGGACTGAACTATCCGAAACGTTGTATGTAGATAGATACTTGTATATATTTGTCTGTGGTTTGCAATCGCCATTTTGTATTTTCATACCAACCGGAACTTTTCACGGTTCACAAAATTGTTTTCATTTTTTATTTCATTTTATGTTATTTTATTTTATTTTTTTCGTTTTCTGCGGATTACGTTGGTAATTTCGCTCAACGCCAAGCAAGTTGGCCCGAAAATTGGCCAGAAAACATTTGCAGCTATTTATGTAAATTCTTGACCTACATTGCCCTCAACTACACGAGCAAAGTGACCAAGTGTAATAATATAAGATAATAAAACTGGGATGACATGCAGATACTTGTAATACAATGCAAATGTCTCAACAAAACCAACAAAACTTCAACTAATAAATTTTAACTTGGCAACAAGTTTATCAAGCAAATCACAATGGGGGAAAACTATAAAATGTTTTGCTTTTTTTTTTTTCGTCACTAACAAAAGTTTTTGGTCTTTTAGACTGAAATCACGGCGAATTTGTATTTCGTTTCATTTGATCGATTTTTATCGATTATGGTTGTTTTTAATCCATTTGCTTTGCATTGCCTTTGATTAAATTTTAATTTATTTTAATTTAAATACAACAAATTTGGTTAGTATTTTATAAATTAAAGTTAACTGTTGATCGATTAAATTAGTAAAAATATGAAAAAAAAAAAAAACATTGATGAACTCACTAACTATCAATTATTAATAAATACAAAAAAAAAAAAAAAAAAAAAAAAAAATAAATAAATAAATAAATAAAACTTTAAAAATATATCAGTATTATATTATATATTGCTCCTAAAATAAATAGAGTAAAATATTTATTTTTAAATTTGTACATATTTTGCAACTCAGATCACATTTTAGCAAGTATAATCTGATTAGGAATATATATTTTTATTAATATATACAAATATTTTAAATATCTTATGCCACTTGCTACTAAATCGATTTATCGATTGCATAACGTTATCGTCTTTTAATCTATTTCCCAAATAACTCTGTCGTCGGGCGCTTCTTTAGCTGGTTATGCCCCAATTCTGCAGTTGCCACAGACATGAGCAAGTAGCAAGAAGAAGAACACTGCAAAGATAAAAATACGCACATACATTTCGTATCTAGCAGATATAGAAACACACTGCACACCAACAGATATACATACATACATAAATATATATGTAGGAATATCTGTCTCTGTGTTTGTGTTTGTGTGTGTGTGTGTGTGTGTGTGTGTGTGTTAGTGTGTAAGGCGGCAATTTAATTTCATTATTACGCAAAAGATAAAAAATAATATGAATAGAACCTAAAGAAAAACCAGAAGACGCAGAACAAAAAAATGCTCGTTGGCTAAAAAAGTGAAAGCTTTTGAATTTCTGCCCAGCCGCAGCTCGACCCGCACCCTCTACCCACCCACCCCCGGCTGCCGCTGCTGCCCATCACCCTCTCACCCATAACCAGACGTACCTCTTGGCCACTCAGCTCATCTCGTCTGCGCTCATCTCTCGGTACATATATACACATACATATATATATATATGTTTGTCTGTATGTTTTTGTATTATTTTCCCTGTTTTACTTATGGAAATTTAATTTTGGTTTCCCATTTTCATGCATCGCAGCAGCGAAACTTGCGAAAAATTTTAATTTCTGTTAAGTTTTGCTATCGCACATTTTGTGGCTTTCTCTGTTTTTGTTATGGCATCGTTTACAAGAGCTCAAATGATAATCATTGAAAGTCCAGACGGCGTGAGCGATAGAGAGAGAGTGTGAGAGAGAGAGAGGGAGAGTGAGAGGAAGGCAAGGTGCGGCGGCGGCTTCTGTTGTCTTGGCCACAAAGGAAATCATTTCATTGTGAACCGCAACTAAGCAGCTCCATTACCATTTCCCCATCTCAGCCGTTGAGTTGCTATTTTGGCTGCTCCATTTCCATTTCCATTTCCACTCCCATTTCGATTCCCATTCCCATTCCCATTCTACACGGCGAGAGACTCTCTTCATTCACATTCAGCTCGCAGTTTGTTAAGTCGTCTGGCAAATTTATGACATTTATTGAAATCCTTTTTGTGTTCGCATTTAACGCTGCACTAGCTCCGCTTCACTCTCCCTCGCCCCGCCAAACACCACCCTCGCAATTGTCTGGCCTAACCGCAATTAGTTGAAAATTTCTCGGCAAAAAAAAAAAAAAAGAAAAATGAATAAATAAAAAAATAAAAAAAACCTGTTGAATATTTCAGTATAAAAGCCAAAATGCAATTTCCATTTTGCCATTAGCTAAGAGAATTTCATAGGCATTTCATAGAAACTTATTGGGAATGCATTTGGCCATTTTATAAAATATTCAAATGAATTAGCGGTAATACAAGCATTAACAATTTCAATGAAAGCTTATCCTTAATAAATATAATTTTTATTTATTTTTATTTGTATTTTCCATTACGTGCAATAAAGGAATTTCATTGTACAATTAATTTTAATTGAATATGTTTATTTATTTGACATTTACTGCAAATAAATTGAAATTACTTCATTCAATTATATGTACATATAAATTTCTATAAGTTTTGCGGCTTACTAAAAAAGCTGTACAGGATATATTGGATTTATCATAATGTATGTAACAGACAGAAAACTGAGTGTGCTTGAGCTTGATTAGATATAGGTCGATATGAATATATTTTAAAATCGATATAAGTCAATATGAAACTTGAGAGTTTCATCTAAAATATCTGCTCGTCGAGCATACCCCACATTGGAGCACTTTAAG